CGGAGTAGGGAACAGCAGAGTGTTCTTTGTCTTTGTTTTTCGGAGTAGATTAATAAAGAACTTAGGATAGGAGGACGTAGGCCTGAGTTGGCTGAACCTCGTTAAATTTGTTGTGTTCTTTATTGCTTTGTTTCGTTAAATTTGTTGTCTTCTTTATTGCTTATTTATATTCCGCTGCGTACGGGAACCAGCACAACTGGTTCCTCACACATAATCCGAAAAGAAGCAAAATTAGCCAACGATTACTTAACACTCAATTCACCCCCCCCTCTTGAGTGCCCATTGAACCTTCAATAACTATAGACATTGCTATAATTCCATATCATTATATCAATATGGCCCTGGAGCATTCGAGCGTCACCATACTCGCCTTCATAAATCCTGGCATTCCTAGTAGTCCCAATACCATAAATGGTTGACATAAACCAATGAATTCTAGGACTATCCAATCCATTTAAGTAAACAAGTGGATATATCTCTGAATCTAGTGTCTCAATGTAGTAGATTCTTCTATTTCCAAGCATGTTGCCAGTGGCCTGTTGTCTTTAACCCGTATTCTGGTGCTGTAATAGAGACCCCTAAACTTAAGCTCTCTAACTTTGCTAATCTCAAATACTCGTTTGAGAAATTCATCTTGTCAGCAAATCCGTTGATTGCCTCTGATTTTGTTGTGTTCCTAACTTTGGCACGTAATTGTTTAAAATGAGGTGCAACATTTTTGATGTATTGGAGGAGCCGCGACAAGAGATGGACTACAGTGATGGATCCTACACTAAGTGGAGGAAACCTTGTGGTCTATCCAGATAGTTTTTTTAGTTATCTTTGCCGCGATATAACATTTTATCAAGGCGAGTTTTATTTCCTTGGAAAGACTGAAATTTGGCACGGCACAAGGTAATCCTTATCATCAAATGGTGTCAAAATTGGAATCCAAATGTAACGATGAAACATGGAATTATTACTTGGTTGAATCACTAGGTAAGTTATTGGTTGTTCGTCAGGTGATATTAGTAGATAACATCAGGCAACGACGTTACACCAAAAGATTTGAGATTCTTGAGCTTAATGTTAAAAATGGTCAAGTTAAGAAAGTGCAAACTCTTCGTTGTCTGTGGATGTATCTCGTGTCTCGGGGTTTATACTCAATTGCATGTACAACACTGATGATCATGTAACAATGATGTGGACTGGATGTGGAATTCATTGCCCAGACACTTGTATTTACGATTGAACGGATGGGAAGTTACACAACTTAGATTATGGCTCATCATATCAATGCACACCAGATATTTGGGTTGAGTCTCCTGTTATATGATGTAATGACCAACTCAAAAAGTTTCCCTATTTGATACCAACTAGTTTTACTCCCGTACCTTTTATAAGTTAAGATTATATCGGATTATCGGAGTATGTTGCGACTATGTTACTCTATAGTGATTTTTTTTTTTTCCGGTTTTACTAGTACGAGTGTAGTATTATGCCATCTATTCTATTAATTATTACTAAAACAATTGTGTCAAAAAAATAAAAATAAAAATTTATTAAAAAAAACTATTACTAAAACAAAACATGCTGACATCATTAAGGGACACATGTCAACTTCTCATGAAAAAATTTCCCGCCTAAACTATTTTTGACATAATTTTTTTTTTTCTCTATTTATTTCCTTCTAAGTTTCAAGACTTAAAAAAAATACAATACTTTTTTCAAAATTAATTAATGAGATTATGATTACACTTTTTCTAATAAAAAATATTAACAACTATTTTAAACATGTAATAGCTATTTAATTTGTGCAATGAGCGGAAGCCAATAAAGTAATAACATACAATAAGGCCATTAATTCAAACTGAATGGTAAAGTAGCCCGTTGATGAATTTGGGCCAACAAAATTTAGAGGAATCCAGTTTTATCGTAGGCTATACCTACATAAACGAAATATTTTGTAAATGGTATGCCCACCCTTTGACCAATGATGAATTTGAAGACAAAGCCCATCTTTTCTCCACCTGATAAATCCCATAAGGGACCAATTTGCTACGCTCTAAAGTTGAGGAGTTTAAAGCATACAAATACGAGTACCAATGTTGAGGGATCGAATTTGACCTTAACTCTGATATCTTACAAATTAGTGTATAATACAGAGTAGTTGTTATTTTCTAATATTATACATATGCCAATATATTAACCTAACCCAATAATCCTTTGAGATTATATTGAAATGTGCATGTAACATGAGCTAAACCTATATTCTATCAAAAAAAAAAAGAATAATAAATTTAAGTTGCACATGCATATAAAGGAAAAAACTTGGTTGAGTTGGTTGGATCTCCGACCCTGTCCATATTAAATTTCTAGATCCGTCCTTGGTCAAATGAATGATTTGATTAAAAATTTAATTTGATGATTTAAGCACCAGGCTTGGTTTTATACTCTATCAAAAAATAATGAATTTTGAAAAATGAGTTAGTGAACGTGATGGCTTTGACGTAATGACTTGCAGCTCTTGATATGAATGTCAAATAACCAATTCGATTGAAAATCTAAATAAATGATTGAATCACTAGAATTGGTTTTATACTCTATCAAAATGGTAATAATAATAAAAAAAATAAATAAATAAATAAAAAAAGAATTATTAAACCTAACGACTTTGACGTAATGACTTACGCATAATAAGCGCAAAGCTCCAGGGAGCCTTGTGATGTAACAACTTTACCCTACAATGCTTCAATTATAAATTTATAATATAATATAAAGATATACTATTATACTAATTAAGTTAGATTGGACGTAAGTAGTTCCCTAAAAACTGGGGTCTTTAGTCTTTAGATAACAATTAAAATTCCACTACTAAGAGCAGGAAAAGCAAGATATATATGGGACATACAAATTAAAAACCTTAGGAACATCACCTAACTTTGTAATTTCAAGTGCCCCCAAAAGCTGGGACATGCATACAACGTTTAACACACAAGGTTTTCTGGCCCTTCTATGCAAGGGAACTAGGATAAACTATAAACAAGAATTGTGAATGACATACACTTACATTATAGACGAAAAATTTGTTTAGGTAAGGTGTTGTTGTGTTTAACTTTTTTCGACTTACAAAGTATTTCACAACAAAGTAAGTTCAGACTAGCTTAACACAAATTAGTTCATATAAGGACTATTGAAATTCGATTCAAATTAAAGCTACATTCAATAAATTCTAATAAGCTGGATTCAGGTTATGGACTCATCATGGTCGTGAAGAGAACACGTACATTTTTTTTCCCTCCTTTGACTACTATTGAGTCCGGATGCAACTTTGTTACATCCCTAATACCCAACTTCCGAAAATACTATAAGATTTCAAAGACTCGTACACTTTACATCAATACCAAAGCTACTATGTCCTATGCAAGAAAAATGCAAAAACATGTCACCTAGCTACAATAGATATAGTCCATGCAATTCAACCATTTAGAATTAAGTGGCAACTTCAATTCAAATCTGACGATCTAATATATTATCAAACACATAAGGCAAAATTTTGTACTATCACAAGTTCATAAATCACAAGCTAGCATTTTCATATAGCACAATCGATTAAAGTTAAATGCAAACTGTCTTCTTGACATAATTATTGTTATTCATAAGCATTGTGAATGGCCTTTAGTCTCAAGATGCCACAACCAAGTAACTGTACAAGATTTTTCAGCCTAACGTACAGGCATGCAGAACGTAACAAAGCGAGCACCAGGCTTAGCTTGTCATAGCAACAACATATATGACAATCTGTTTATACAACATTATCCCTGTTAAGGCCTTCACTACACCGACAATATATGTATAACAACGACCATGCTTCTAAACAATCACATTTTAGCTCGCTCTTCAATTATATATTGTTGCAACAAAAACAATAATAGCCTATCACCTATACATATGACGTATATAAAATCATCAATTAATCAAAGCAAGGTTATAATCTTTAATTTAAAGAGACATAAAATTTTATTTAAGCAGCTAGGAAAACAATAGAGGGATCAGAACGAAGATAAGACAGCCTAATATATACGTAGAATTATAAACGTACACTTATTGAGTTATTTCATGGTGTGGTGATGCATTTTATTAATTTGTTTAATTTGCTACGTACGGCTACAAATTGTTCTAAATGCATGCATGTCTAACAAAGTGCAAACAATGTTCAATTAATTATTGTTAAGAATGAAAAAGATAAATCGTGATACTGCTCCTTGTTCTTCATGCTTTTAGCCCTCCCCTTTTAATCAATGACTATGATATATAGCTTAAATTTCTGATTTTGTACGTTCTTATGTAAATTCATTAAAGAGATGAAAAGACCCTAATATTGTGATTATGATCTTCCAATACTTACTCGATTGAGTAACTTCAATTCCCATAAGCGCGTATATTGAGAGATCCTACAATAATAATTGTATGTTTCCAAAGATCATCAATAGCTAAATGCATATATTGAAAGAGAAAAAAGGAAATAAGATTAAAGTGCATAAATTAGAAAGGGAAAGCAAGGTCTAGGAGAGTGAGATGCCAACAATAATCTAGATAATACATATATGCGATGCATGAAGTAGAAGCTTATTAAAGACATATTCATTTGATATTATTAGGTAATCGAAGTTAATTACATAAGCTAATCACATAATTAGTTACATCCATCTTAAGGGTAGTAGATAAATAAAGTATTGTGCTTTAGGTGCTCTATAAGAAGAAGAAAAAAGGCCTTACATATCATCCTGATCAGATCGAGTTATACATAAGAACGCGAAATCAGAAAATGAGATCCTATTGATAAGATCAAGAATTAAAATCCCTAGATCTAATATGAACACAGATTTTCGGCAAGTAAAACAAACTAGGCCAAACAAACACAAGCCATGAGATCTCACCACTAGGCTATTGAAATATATCATCCAATTATATCATTGACTTTGTATGATCGAAAAGTATACAATTATCACTCTCATCTCTTTGACACAAATGAGAAATTCTTTGATTAATTTTGGAAAATTTACATTTTAAAAACAGTAAAACCCTAGAATTAAATTAGTAGAATTCATACATACATACGATGCAACCGGAATAGATTATATTTAAGTACATCAATCAAACTCTTTGCACACAAACAAGCTAAGTGAACAACATAATAGCTAAAAATACCCTTTTTTAGGCACATCACACACCATTTAAAAAAAAAAAACCCAATTATATATAGATCTATTTCACATAGCTTAGGGTAACATGAAGTTTGGAGCACAAGGGCATCACTACTTATCTCCAAACAAGTACCCGAGTGATGAACTTCCTCCCGGCACAGATGTCACTTTGGTTGATGGACGATCCTAAAGATGAAAAGAAAAATAAAAGCTTGAATTTATTAGTACATACCAAACTACAAAATATAGCTAATCGGAAAATTTTCGAAAAACTATCAATTTAGTACTCACAGTAATGAAATTTCCTGAGTTAGGGCCTTGTGCTCTATGATAGTTATTGTTGGTGTTATCTACCTTTTGTGGAGAGGAATTCTCTTCTTCTATGTCGGTACCATAAGGCGGGTTTATTGCCTTAGATGGTGATGGAGGAGGGTTATTTGCCGGTTGCCCTTCTTTCGAGCCAAACAAGTAGCCCAAGGAGCTTTGCCCACCACCATAACTTTCACCTCTACTCATGGTTTTTCTTAAAGAAAAATGTGATTATCAACAATTAGCAAAAAGATAGGGCATGACAGATTTGAGTATATATAGAAAGGTAGTTGATAGTTCTTTTTCTAAAGTGATTATCCTAATATCCCACCTAATACAGTGAGGCCATATATATTTGTACTAATTAGATGGACATGATTGTACATCGATCAGCATTATGTGATTTGATGGGTGATTATTATGTATAATTCTACGGTGTTGTTATATTAGGTGAATAATTATGGAATGAAAGAGAAACACACTTTATTTCCTATATATAGTACAGTTTATACTAGCTGTCTTCAATTTGTGGTGTTTTACATGTTTTATCTATGAGGTTAACAGTTAATAACAACACAGCTAGTGCTTAGTGAACAAGCTCCAATCGATAAGAGCAAATAAGTTCAGATAAATTGAACTCAAATGAAAAGAACACAACCTTCTATTTACTTCTTTTTTTTTTTTTTTTTTTTTTTTTTTTTTTTTTTTTTTTGTTCCTTTGTTGTTTCTTGTATAAGTAACAAGTCAAAAGGAGAGCACTTAAACGGGAATAAAAGCCAAAAAGTAATCCCTTAAACAAGAATAAAAATCAAAAAAGTAGTTGAGAGGGGATATTATTCTTATATACCAATTGGTTGTTGGTGTAGTGGTGATTGAGACTACACTTAGTAAGGAGGATCGCGTGTTCGATCCCTTGCAACAATAATTGGGAGGGGAATGAAATCTAACCACCAAGAACTGATCCTCGAATCCGAGTTAGCCCAAAGGGTGAACCAAGTGGAATACCAAAAAAAAAATATATTATTCTTATATGCACCCAACTACAAGGTACACCCAAAGATATTTTTGCTCATTTTGGTGATTAATGCTCATATTATCATCCTTGCACTCGTGTGTATGTAAGAAATTTCAAGTTCAGAGAAAATCCCAAGATATTATATTACATTATCTAGAGCTATCTTAAGAGCTAGCTATAAGATACATATTACTATAAGTCAAAAACTCAAAATGGCATATTATATACAAAGTGTAATGCAAAATGGCATGAGAGAATAGAACTGGCAAATGGGTCATTAGGGTCGGGTACAGATCGGGTCAATTTTGAATCGGGTTATTTTGGGTCAGTTAACATTCGGGTCGAGTATGGGTTATTTCGGGTTTTGTGTATGGCTCGGGTCAAGTATTGGGTCGGGTTCGGGTCGGGTTAATTTCGGGTTGGGTCATTTTCGGGTCAAGTATGTTCGAGTCATATTCGGGTCGAGTCAAAATCAGGTCGGGTCATGTTCGGGTTGTTCCATTTAATTTGTGGATCTAGCTCAAATCAATAATATTATATTTTATTATTGTTATAATAAGAACTATCAATTCGGTTTATGAGTGTGGCTACAGTTGAAGATGAACAATTTAAATTATTTTTGGCACCAGACATTTTTAGTTCAATTATAAAGTAATTTTAGTTCGGGACATTTCGAGTATTGGGTTTGTTCGGGTCAAACAATTCGGGTCAATTTCGGGTCGGGTTAACTTTGAGTCGGTTCAATTCGGGTGTCGGGTCAAGATCGGGTCAAGTATATTTTTGGGTCAGGTATGGGTCGGATCGGGTCAATTTCGGGTCATTGTATTTGGGTCATTTTCGGGTCATGGGTTGGATCATTCGGGTCGAGTCATCGGGTCTGGGTCAGGATTGCTAGATCTATGACAGAGTAGGGTTTGATAGGATTGTTTAGAATTATGATACCAAATCAGAGAGTGGTTAATTCTCCTAGAAATCTAGAATCAATGATTTCATTAGAATATATAAACCTTTACAGCCCAACTAAGGATAAAAGATAGATAGTTACTCTAATACAATTCTATACACAAGCCATAAATAGTCTACATATCTCTATAGTCTAATAAGCTAACGTTATTGAAACAAGCCCCCCTTTTACTAGAATGATGATATATACAAATCAAACATTTAACATATGCGCAAGGTAAAGGAGTTTGTTCGCGCAAAGCTGATTTCAGAGGATGACCCTTGCCCATCCACGAAAGGCAAAGGGGTGCATCCGCGCAAAGCCCTGCTTCCCCAATTTTTTCCACATGTCTTTTTCTTAGCCGTTGATCATTCATTTAGTGCTTGGAGTATATATGTTCTAGTGGTCATTCTCTCATTATTCACAAAATATTAAACACTATTTGACGGTTTATGACACATTTTGTGAGGTGTATTTAAATTTCATACAATTGATGCTTGTTTTCTTGAGTTTATCCACTATCAATACGGAAAACTATTTTATAGTGCAAGGTGGGCTTTTTTCTCTCATTTCTCATGTTTTCCCACGATTATATTGTCTCCATTTACTTTGCTTATTTCTTCATTGATTGTTCTTGATTGATTGGTTATTTGTTTGTTCATTGTTGTTGTTGGTAATGATTGCAGTTAGTGCTTTTTTTTTTTTTTTTTTTGAACAAATTAGTTTCCACTCTAACATAACAATTTATATTCGAAAAAAGGTTGTTTCTGTTAATATTATATGTGACGCCCATACAATAATTAAGCAAGCCATCAAAATTATACTAAGTAAAAGACATGTGGATCACATATTGCAATTAGATTGACAACGTCAATTACATCCTTAATTGGCAAATTTAGATTGACATTAAGTAAAACTCTATTCTATATTCAAATAAAATAATAAAAAAAAAAACAAAAAAAAAATGTAAAGCTCTATTCTATACTCTCCAACTTAACAAGATATGAAAAGTATATTGATATTAGTTAATGGTCATTATTATTTGATTAACATGTTCTATCAAAAAACTACGTTACTAGAACAAGGTAGTATATATATTAGGTTGGTATAACACAAAGTTGTCAATTAGTTAAGATTTTTTTTTAGAAATTAGAGGGTTGAGCAATATGAGCATACTAACTCGTTGAATCAACTTTTTACCAAACAATTGATATAATAGTTTTATAAAGTCAAGTCTCTACTAGATTGGTCAAATGAGCTCATTTTTTGTCAAAACTCTCGTGTTTGATCACAAACTCATACTAGTATCTAACAGTCGCATAAGAACATGATGGATAGTTGAAGAATCTAAACCTAGCTATAAAAGAGTCGAATCAAATTCCACAATATAATCATAAAAACTCAACAAATACCATCAAATAAATAGTTTTTAAAAAAGTTAGGGACCCAATATTCCATCAATAGTCATTGCAATTTGATGTGGCTTTGAGACCTAATGAGAATATTAAGCAAAAGCTAAAGCTTTATATGTGGTGTTCAATCAAGGTGATTGACCACTAATACAAATTTGTTTATCTTAGTGCTCAATTAAGACCCCTCAAATCGGGGTTGTCCTCAATTAAAAGTAGCAACATTGAGTTGGTTATTTTATGATAGCCTAAGCTCGGTTGGAAGGGTGCCTGTAGGCCAAAGATACACTGTTTTACTATTTACTAAGTCGATTTCACTTGATCACCTGTCACTTTGCTTAAATTAGCCACAGTCCCAAAATAGTAATTGTTAAATTCTTCTTTTATAGTTGAGTTTCCTTCAAAAAGTTTATCAGTATATACTAAAGGTAAAGCCCTATTTGGTTTGATTTTGTTTTTAAATTTTATTCCCAAAATAAGTTTAGACTAGTTTATAAGCAATATAAAGGCAAAATTACACTCATTGACATGAATTATGACTCGACTACAACCATTGACATGAATTTGGACGCTAAAGACACTCATTGACACAAACAACATACTAAAGACACTCAATGGCATGAAATTTGTAATCAAAGACAATTCTAGTGACATTAGCTTTATTAATTAAGTTCATGTCGGTGAGTGTCTTAACTGTGCCAGTTCATGTTAATTTTATTATGTACATAAGTTCGTGTCAATGTTTGTAGTTGAGCCATAGTTAGTTCATGTCAATGTAGAAGTAATTTCTCTAACTTATAAAGGGGTATGTATCATCTTTCCCTTTTCTCCAATGTAAGACACTTACAAGTGGGTTATAATGTATTTCAACAGTTTCACATGGTTTTTGTGATTCCTCTCACCTTTTATCAAAGTAATAATATACATTCAACAGAAACATTTTATCAAAAAAGGTATCATATAAAGATGATTAGTCAAGTTTTGCAACTCTGTGAACAAAAGCTAATTAGTAATTACACTGTAATGCCCTCTTTCAAAGTCTAGTTAAATTAGGTGCTTTCTAGTTTGTAGGTGGAGCATACAATAATGTCTAATGTCTACTACTACTACCTTTGCTAGTCTCCTGACTTTCTGATGTATAAAAACCAACGACAAACTGAATCAACTAATTAATCCTGTTCTGTTGACAAGAACTCTCAACAAATTCACTCTAGCCAAACTTATCATGTTGTCTATCTAATAAGTTTATGCTTTCTCTTACAACTTCAAATAAAAAATCCATAACAAAATGCTCGACAACAATCAAATTTAATAATAAAGTTGTAATGATTTTATGGACTAAATTAGTACGAGTATAATTCAATACTTTTTTTATTTGAAAAAATAATACAGGGTAAATAATAATATTGAGGAAATAAATGATGAAAATCAGTTTCAAACAAATGAGGACAACACTAGAGAATTAGCATAATTTTTTTAAATTAAACAATTGTAAAGAGTAGCAAATTTCAGTTTCCATCAATAAATAATAAATTTAGTTAGCACGGAGTAGTTATAATTTCAGCTTAGCAAAATTAAGATGATGTGAACAAGGTCTTTACTTAAATTATTATCTCACATGGAGTACTCCTTTCGTTCTTTTTATTTTTTTCGTTATTTTTTAACATGCTTACTTACCATAGCAAGTGAATTTTGGGATAGAAAAAAAGAAAATTATGTAGAGATATTGGTATTATTATATACTTTCTTTGTTCACTTTTAGTTACAACGGTTGAAATTAAATCATGAGAGGTTTTTAATAAGAAGATAAAAAAAATAATGGAGTAGATTATTTTAAGGGGTCTACAAAATTATGTAACTTACCTTGGTGCTTGCTATTGACTATTGAGGAGTATATGGAAATTAATAGTGCTA